ATTTTTAACCTAAACTCACAAGTTTGGTACCAATCGATGCAGAATTTAATTAGCTACAAAATGATATAATATTGTCCTCATACATTAAAGGATTGCTCTACTAGAAAGATTTGCCAAAAAAATTTCATTCATAATCGGCTACGACACATATATTTCAAAACCCTGTACCAGAAGCCGCGCGCTTACCTCAACATGAAACTTCTCAGTTTTTTGCATAAACGCACACGGTAGAAGCAAAATTCTTCCCAAGAATTTGGGGATAATGACGCCCAAAGAGGCGAAGCCGGCTCAGTCGCTCACGGCTTCTTCGGGCCTTTGGGGATTCCACAATGTTTCATTGAATCTCCCCAATTTGGAACTCACAGAACACATTAACACTGATAAATTGATCAACACTGTCCAAATCTTCAGAATTCCTTTTTTTGAGCTCAATTCTGCAACGCACGAAACCCATTGGCATTCATTTATCGATCGAAAAACTTAATCAGCTTCAATTAGATTGTTTCTTTACAAAAAATTATAAAGTTGCACCGTTAAAACGAGAAATTCTTGAAATCTGGAATGCATTGAAAACGTTTCCGGAAAAAAGAAGAAGAATTTGGTTTTAGAAAAATCGAATAATTTTCATCATTCATCGAAATTTGCATTTAAAACGAAGGCCTCGGTGAGGGAAATTTACATTTGTTATCAAATTTGCATATGAATTTGCATAAGAATTTGCATTTATTTCTGTTTCTGGACGTCTAGGCGGAGATTCGGATCGCTATTGCTGTGACTGCTGACTGGTGGCTGGCTGCGGGGGGAGGGATGGGACTCTGAAAACGTTCACTTTGCTTATTTAGACCGTTTTATTTAGTTTTTGAAATTTTTCGTGTCGAAATCTTCTTATCTGGAACGCACAACAACTAACATTTCCCATTTGGGCACTTTTCGGAGCCCGGTTTAGTTACCCAACTCTGTCAATTTCATTCGCCTCGAAATCTCTCAAAAATTTTCTGACAATTTTTCATTTTGACTGGTCTTCTGAGCGATCTGGAACGCACAATAAATAATAATTCCAATTTTGTGGCAATTCAGTCAAATCTAGATTCCGGCTTGGTTACCCAACTCGTCACAAAACTCTGAAAACACCAAAAAGATCAAAAACCCGCTGGCTCTCGGCTTTGCATAAATTCCCCGTCCGCAAATATTTTCCTGGTGTCCTGGATGAGAAATGACCACCAAAAATCAAGGGAAAGCCTCGAAAAAGATAGAGAAATTTATGTGTTCTTTTTTCAAGAATGGAATACACGACTTATGCAAAATTCGAATCTGATTCAAGCGGTTTGCTTTTATTTCGGGTAAAGGTTTTGGGTTTTCTAAAATGATGACGAGACTTAGCGACAATTTCATCTCAAATTCGTATCCAATCCTAAAAAATGCCCATTCTACAGTACCCAATCGTTAGCTGACCCTAAAAACAGTGTTTCAAAGTGTTAAAACGCAACAAAATCAGCCTAGAGTCCCATTCTGGAATGCACAGCACTGAATAGCTGAACTGGACCACTGTTTGGATGAGAAACGAACAGGAGTTTTGTAGAATCCGTTTTCTAAACCGTTTCCTCTTCCTACCGTAATCCAAATTCGTTAGGAAACGGTTTTTTGGCTATTCTGGAAGTCACTAGGGATGCTTCGCAGCTTAAAACTTTAAAATTAGCGGTTTCAGCCAGCACCGTACCAGTTTCCTAAACGGTGCCCATTTCTCTCTCTACCGTAATGCAAATTAATCAGTAAACGGTTTTTTGGCGGTTCTGGAAGTCACTAGAGTTCTTCTCAAGTTCAGAAATTCAAAATTTGCGCTGACCCTGTTTCCATAAACACAAAGGGTTGGGTGACTAAACGGGAGCACTAAAACGTGACGAGAAATGCTTCCACTTCAGCTCTCATTCATATTTTTGAAATTTTTCTAAACTTTGAATTTCCCTTTAAAAAAGATAAGGTTTCAGCTTAAATGTGTCAAATTTCCGCGAAAAAAGCGCCGAATCGAGGGAAATTCGGATTAAAGTTGGCTAGGAAATGGGTGTTTGCAAAGTTCGCTTCACACAAAGTACGTTTGGGGAGCGCGGGGTTGGGTAACTAAATCGGAAAATGAGGTAAGTCGTTTCAAACGTTGTCAACAAGAATACAGGCTAGCATACAGTGAAAACTCGACGAATTTTCAACTTTTCATCAATTCTGGATGTCACTAGAGGGTAAAATTCGAGAAAAATGAAAATTGATTGAAAATTGAAAATTCTGATTTTTGGACAAGATTACGGTAGTCGGGGCACGCTTTAGCAGGACAAAATCTCTCAAACATTGATCCCCTTCGAAGAGTAATGAATTCAGTGCTGTGCATTCCAGAATGAAGCTCTAGGCCAATTTCATTGCGAAAGGGCATAGGGAAATCGCCGAAAGAGAAGAGAACACGTCGGGTATCATTATGGAGAAGATGCTGGCTCTTCTTTTGAGAAAACAAAAAGCTAAAAATGATAGGATTTCTTCTCCGTCTCCCTCAGGACTCTCATTTCTTATTTGTTTCGTTTTTCTGTAAGCCTGAGACTTTTAGAGGAGTCGGAAAATTGGGCTAGTAGACTTTGAGCTAATTTTATTCCCAGTACGATCACGGAGTTAATTTGTCCGTTGCCCGGCACCTAACTGTGCTAAGCTGAGCTGAGCTAAGCTGAGCTGGGCTGAGCTAAGCTGGGTCTTCTCCTTGACAAGTAAGCCCTGAGTCCAAGTGTTGATACTGGGGCTGATTCAGCCAGCCTTTACTCGTTTAAATTTAGTTTTTTCAAAAATTTTCTGAAAATCGATCATTCTGGAACTCACAACTGCTAAAATTTCAACAATTAAAGAAATTTAAAAAATTCAAAATCGGAACGAGAATCCCCTATACCAGAGGGTTTTGCCAAATGGAGAGCGATTACACGGCCGTACAAAGAATCCCTCAGCTGCCGCATCTGTCGCTATGGCTGTCGCTGATTGTGTCCCAAGCATTCACAAACGCTGTCTATTGAGCTCAAGTAGATGTCCATTGAAGGAGGTTTTGGATTGCCACCACCCGTTTCATCTTTTCGTGCTTTTCCGGAGTCCGGAGAATCCGGAGCCGATGGCAAAGCCAATTCTCATCCTGTTGTCCGATCTTTACTTTGAACGGTGCATTCAAAGAAATATCAGCAGACTTTAACACCCAAAAGACCTTTTTTGCTTTGTTTTAACTTTAATTATCCTCCCCTACGCATGTAAAACTAAAAAACACGCCCGAGATTGTCCACGTATTGTCAATAGATCAATAGATTGTCCACGTTTTAGCGGGCAGAAAGTCAAAAAACGTCATTTTCAACTTAAGAAGGCATCAAGTCTTCGCAGAGTTGATCAATTTTTATTTTTTGGTATCAAAATATCTTTGCACACGTCCACATAAAAGTTATCGAGTTTTGAGAGCGTAATCTTTCGATCACGCTGAGAACGAGCCACCGAAAGTTGGTCGCGGCGAGCTGATTGCAAAGGCGAGTTGATTGCAAAGGCTTCCATTCGATGGGGCTTCTATTCTAGAGGACTTCCATTCGATGGGGCTTCTATTCTAGAGGACTTCTATTCTAGAGGACTTCTATTCTACAAGGCTTCTATTCTAGAGGACTTCTATTCTACAAGACTTCTATTCTAGAGGACTTCTATTCTACAAGACTTCTATTCTAGAGGACTTCTATTCTAGAGCGCTTCGAGGGTAGAGTGTATTCCTTTCAACAAATAGTCCACAGTAGGAAACGAGTGCATTTAAAAGAAACAGAATATCTTACAAATTTTATATTGAATATTGAAGATATTCGATTGATTTCGACCTGACTTGTTTCCTATTTCAGACTATTTCTTAAGGGGAACACACGCTATTCGAGGGCGCTTCAGTATTTTCGCTTACAGTATTTACGGTAGTAAGTCCAATTTCTATCTAGATTTTCGCTTAAAAATCGAGATTCTTTTGTAAAGTTTTTAATTTTTAATCACCCTGCAGTCTCCTTGGCATGCTCCGATCAAGCCTTAGAACCTGTAAGGTCTGGCCTAGCTTCCCTTAAGAAACCAGCCGTACCTGAGCCTGGTTTGGATTTTAGACAGGTGTAGCCTGGATCTGGGTCGGCCTCTCTGGGCTAGGCTGGGCCTTTCTGGGCTAGGCTAGGCCTTTCTGAGCTAGTCTAGGCCTTCCTGGGCTAAGCTAGGCCTTTCTGGTCTGGGTCGGCTTTTGGCCTTTCTGTGCTAGTCTAGGCCTTTCTGAGCTAGTCTAGGCTTTCTGGGCTTTTCTTCAGCGAAAAATTCCCCGAGTCAGCCGAAAGCAGTCAGACCTTGGACCTGGTCCATCCATGATGCAAAGTGATGTTTGAAACGTCCAATTTTCTCACTTCTCCATTTTTTGATCATCCAAACACACGAATGAAAGAGAGAAGAAGGGTGGGACTCAGCCGGCCGTGCCTGGCAACACGCAATCGGTTTGGGGAAGAGGAAGAGAGGGGAAGAAGGGGAAGAAAGGGAGAAAGGGAGAAAGGGAGAAAGGGAGAAAGGGGGAAGGGAGAAAGGGGAGCTCTCAGAGAATTCCCCTCACAGAGCTCCCAGAGACAGAGACAGAGCTAGATCGATGCCTAGATGCCCCGCCCAATCCCTTTCCTCTTTTTGCCATCGCTCTTCTCGTTCTCCTTTTCTCCGCAAGATCGACTCACTCACTTTTCCCCCGCTCACAGCTTGCTCATCATTGTCCACTTTTGAACTAATCTTTTTGATCTTTTTCTCATTCTCAAAACTTACTGTGACATCCAGGAAACACTTTTTAAAAAAAAATATACATTTGCATTCAGTTTTTCGCTTAAAATTTTCGATTTCGCTTATTTTCTGGCATTTTGGCCGATTTTGAACTCAAATTTCGCTAAAATTCCCAATTTCTCTTTTAGATTGCTCTCATTTTGGACTTTATCCCTATTTCCGCTTTCTAGATGGGCGAATTGGAGTCAGGGGCCGACGAGAGAATGCACCAATTCTCGAGCTCGGGCCGGTCCGGGCGCCGAAACGCTCTGCCAGAGATCGACGTCTCCGAGGTGGACCCCGGCGCGCAGAAGCTAGCAGAAAGGTGAGAACGCGAATTAAATGAGAGCTTTGGCCAATCTGGATGTCAGTGCAGCTAGAGTATTCGCCTAGACTTGGATTTCCAATGATTAGACAAATTTCATTTTGGGGTTTTGGGTTAGTGCGTAATTGAACCACTCTGGAGTCGCTGAGAACTTGGCGCAATGGAATTCGGTCAAGCTGGATGTCACTGCAGCTAGATACTCACTTAAAACTGGGTTTCCAATGATTTGACAAATTTGGTTTTGAGATTTTGGGTTATTGCGTAATTGAACCGCCGTGGAATCGCTGAGAACTTGGCGCAATGAAATTCGGTCAATCTGGATGTCACTGCAGCTAGATACTCACTTAAAACTGGGTTTCCAATGATTAGACAAATTTCGTTTTGGGTTTTTGGGTTATTGCGTAATTGAACCACCCTGGAATCGCTGACAACTTGGCGCAATGAAATTCGGTCAATCTGGATGTCACTGCAGCTAAATACTCACTCAAAATGAGCCTAAGCCTGAGTTCAGAGAATTCGGTTCTAGCGCATCTGACTTCTCGGCTTTTTTGCCTTGTTCGAAACCTCAAATTTGCATAAATTGCTCAAATTTGTCAAAGCTGGATAGCACAAGGGCTAAATATTCAAAAAAAATCGCCACTTCATAGGTAGAACAAAAATTTGTGCTTTGCTTCTGCTCAGCTTCTGCTGAGGTCACGGAATTCTCTCAATTTCTCTCCAATTTCTCTCCAATTTCGCAAATCTTTTTTAACGCGTCACAATGCGCGTGCTGCGAGTCATAGCGAACAAAAACAAAAGAGGAAATTTCAGAGAATTTCGAGAATTCAGGCAAGGATGTTCGAAATTGAATCGCCCCGATTTTCGGGGAGATGGGCTCGTTTTTTGCCTTTGCCTTTTTGCCTTTTTTGGCCTTTTTTGGCCTTTTTGCCTTTTTTGTCGCCAAAAAAAGCCAGGCAACGGGCTAAATTTGGCTCTTGTGCCATCCAGACAAAGAAAAAAACGCTTAAAATGGGACCATTGTGAGCAATGAGACGAAAACGGGGAGCGGAGGGGAATTGGAGGCGAATTTCTTACTGGAAACAATTTCTTACCGGAAACAATTTCTTACCGCAAATTTTCAATGTCTCACAATTGTAGAATAATAAAAAGTAAAATTTTTGGTTAACTTCTACTTTTTTGACTTCCATTAGTCTTTGTGCCTTCCAGATCTAGGATCTATCTAGCTTCGAGCCTAAGGCCGCGCAAGTACAAGCAAAATTTCCCCCAGCTACCTATTCGACCAAAAGTGTCAGACTCAAATCGTTTCACTGTTGAATTCCTTAGCTTCATTAGTCAGTGTGCCTTCCAGATCTAGGATTTCTCTAGCTTCGAGCCTGGGGCGGCGCAAGTACAAGCGAAATATCGTCCAGCTACTCAACCAAAATATCACTCAGGTCAAATCGTTTCACTGATCAATTCCTTAGCTTCATTCGTTAGTGTGCCTTCCAGATCTAGGATTTATCTAGCTTCGAGCCTGGGGCGGCGCAAGTACAAGCAAAATTTCCCCCAGCTACCTATTCGACCAAAAGTGTCAGATAAATCTTTTTATTTTTTATTTCCTTTTCCGGTTCCCCCCCCGGAAAGTTTTCCCCCCCCCCGGAAAGGGGCCTAAAGAAAAAAAAATTCTCCCCATAATTATAAAATAGAGTCAAATCGTTTCACTGATCAATTCCTTAGCTTCATTAGTTTTTGTGCCTTCCAGATTTACCATTTTCAAGATTTTCTAACTTTCTTTGGGTCTGGCACGATTCTCAGTACTCGGTAAAGAAGTTCCTTGTCACTTAAAAGCTTATCATTCACTAGTTTTCACAAAACCGAACCTTTTCAAGTAAGCCTAAGCTTGTCCTACTGTTAATTCGATAATTTCCAATAAAACCTCTATCTTTTTGGCATTTTCAAGTGATCTGGAAGTCAGTACAGCTAAAATTCTCTATTTCACAACGACTAGGCAAAGATAAGCTCGGTTCAATTACGCAACTTTCCAGTTTACCGGAAATTAAGCCCAATTTTCCAGAAAACCTTTTGTTTTTTCATCATTTTCAAGCGATCTGGAAAGCACAACACTCAAAATTCTCTATTTCACAACGACTAGGCAAAGATAAGATCGGTTCAATTACGCAGCTTTCCAGTTTACGCTAGTTTAAGCCCAATTTTCCAGAAAGCCTTTTGTTTTTTCATCATTTTCAAGCGATCCTGGAAGGCACAACACTCAAAATTTTTTATTTCACGACGACTAGATAAAGATAGGCTCGGCTCAATTACGCAAACTTTCAGTTTACCGGAAATTAAGCCCAATTTTCCAGAAAACCTTTGTTTTTTCATTATTTTCAAGCGATCTGGAACGCACAACGCTCAAAATTCTCTATTTTACGATGATTCGGTGATCTTGGGTTAATTTGTTAGTATCACCCATTCTTCCTGCTCAATTCCTTTTCCGACCCAGCTGTATTCGGATAAAGCTAGTCACTCTCAGCATATTGAAATACATCTACCTGAATGATTATTGAAGCTTAGCCCTAACTTTACCTGGCCTAGGCTGGCTAGCCTGGCCTTAGGCTGGAAGCAGGGCTGGCCTAGCCTCCCGCCCTAGGCTGGTCAGCGTGTTGGCGTGAGCTCATGCAGGCGCTTCTCAATTCACTAGTCAACAGTCCTTTCCCACTCATCAGAAGAAAAAGTTAATGTTTGTGGCTTGAGCCTTTTTTAGCAAAGAAAAATCCAATTTCTAGGTAATTCCAAAGAGTTTAATTTAGATTTTCGCAGTTGGACGCCACCGATGCCCCGTCGACCTCCAAACAAAGTGATTCTCGTGAGTTCTTTTGCTTATTTCCCTCCAGTGCGCTCCAGGATTGACAAAAATTAAATTAACGAAAGAGTTAAGCAAAGAAATTTGCATTTAAAGCGATGAAGCGTTTCTTATTGAAAACTAATTCGAAAAAAATCTTTTTTGAAGCGCGTTTTCTTTTGCCAATTAAACTCAGTGACC